TTTGTTCCCAATGTAGGACCTGCAACAAGTGTAACAACTGTGCAATTCTTTTAACTATAGAGCATCATACTTTCTGTTTTCTGCTCATATCACGGTTCACTAAATTCCAGTTAAAAGTTGTTCTTTTCCCCCTTACATAGAGCCATGTTATAATTTTGAAATAAAAAAATACACTCCAGACACATAGCATTCACATTTTTCTTTAAACATTTACCTAGATGCTACGTTTGAACTTAATTCAAATTGAACAAAAAGCAACAATAACAAAGCATGTTAGTCCCCTCCTCTATCTTTTGAATGAATAATTCAATGTACTGTATATATTAATGGCAACCAGAAATTTTAATGACTCTCATAGAATATCGATGAATATGTGCCCGCTGAAGCTTCTGGTTAGGACTTAGATATTAAATAAAGCATGTATCTTTGGAGGATATATTTTTTTAACCTTAATGGGCTATCCAAAATACTTTCCTCTCTTTCTTTGATACTTTCAAATGAACAGTATATGTCTTTGAGCATTATATCTGTTAAGCCAGGTTTTGGGTTGCTAAAATTTATTTGGACAAGGTAGATCTTGGGTTGTCATAATGCATTTGGTTTGCCTTCTTCATCCTGACATTCATCCTGAATTAATAAATGGTTCAACCTTGAGGCAAATGTCTGCACCTTCTCAAAAGTCACATACAAAAATAAATTGCTCATTGTGCACAGGCAGCATTTTTACTGATATGAATCCTGTTTTATACGTGGCTCTTCCATTAATTTGTATGTTATTTCCTGCTTTTATTTACTTGCATATCACAAGGTAATGGAAGTTTTAATAACACTCAGAATGAGTTCATAATTTCTCAGTTTGTTGTCAAGTGTTGAAAAAAAGTTTGAAGCAAAGTACTCGGTAGCATATTGTTAATCCCATAAAGACACAGAGGGAAGATATATCCTGAGCAGGCTGTTACAGCTCTCTAATTGGAATTACTTCTTATTCCTTAACTTATGTTGAAGGAGCAAATGACAGCTCCTAAGCAGTTGGAAAGTGAAACACCAGTCTTCTGAGAATACATAAAACAACAAGTTTCAAAACAAGAGTGAAGAAAACCAGGTTCTAGTCCTGTAGGTTACAGTCCATAACTTTCAATGAAGAGATTTTCACCTTGTAGTAGGGGATTGAATGATGATGATGATGATGATGGTGGTGGTGGTGGTGTTGGTGGTGGTGGTGATGGTGGTGGTGGTGCTGGTGGTGGTGGTGGTGATGATGATGATGATGATGAACTGAAGAAGTTAGCAAAATACAAAGACCTACAAATAGAACTAAAACGACTGTAGCAAAGACAAGCAAGGTACCAATTGCAGTTGCTATTACTATAGTACCAATAGTAATAGGCACCTTGGGTGCAATCCCAAAACAACTGGAGCACCACTTGAACACCATTGGCATTTCCAATTAAGTTTGGTGTTTATTTTCAGAACTGCATTTGAGGTACTTATGTAGGTAATCCTGCATTTATGACTGTAATTGAGCCTGCAACTTTGGTTATAACTTGTGACAGTTATAAAGTGGGTCACCATGAGATGGGACCTGATTTTACTATCATTTTTTTGCAGCGATCCTTAAGTGAACATGGGGATTGTTAGGTGAACCCATTGTTCACTATGGGGCAATTTTTGCCAGAAACTGACAAAATGTTGTAAATCAGTAAATTAAACCACAGGATGCTACAAATGGCTGTAAATGCAGGCCAATTGCCAAGGACCCAAAATGCAGTTACCTGTTTGTGCAGGGGGCCATATGTTGCAACTTTGAATCCAGGTCGTAAGTCCCTTTTTCAGTGTAACTTCAAACAGTCACTAAGACTACTTGTAGTCCTAGGCTGCCCGGATTTACTTCCAAAAAGCTGTTATTTAGTTCTGCATGTGTACTGCATGTTGGATAAAACAAGATACATTTTTGATTGCTACAGCCATCAGTTCCAGATGCCTGACTATGTTGGGCTGGGTGCAGTAGTGGGATTCAAACATGTGAACAACCGGTTCTCTGTGTGGATGCCGCTTCCAGAAGTCCATTCTGGGCCTGGGCAACAAAAAATTAGCTACCAGTTCTACCGAACTGGTGCGAACTGGCTGAATCCCACCACTGGTTGGGTGACAATTTTCTAGTAAAACTGACTGAATTTCATTCATATGCCGCCATCTACACTTACATTAAGGTATTCTAAATTAAAATAACTTTCCCAAGTAGTCCTTGTTTAGCAACTGCAATTGGGACCACAGCTTGGTCATTAAACAAAGCAGGTGCTAAGTGAAACTGCGACTGTATTTATTATGGTATTACTTCAGCTTTCTTTTGCTGTACAGACTTGCAAATGTCATAAATATGACGATTAGTTGCAAAGTCACTTTTTCCTTACTGTCTTAAGTGAGAATAATTGCTATACAAGGCAGTCACTAAGTGAGGACTACTTGCACGTAAATTTTCCCACTGCTTTACTAGATAGATAGACAGAAGACAGACAACTTACATTTCACAATAGACAAAAGAGTAAACGTTTCTCATAACTCCATCTAATTTGTTCCATGTTAGCCAGCTTTGGTCACATCAAGGTTGCAAGGCAGCAAGCTACCTCTGCTGTGTGACAGATCACTTTATGAGAACAAAACTTTGTTATTTTCAAGGGTTGCTGTAGCTTCTTTTAATCTGGTATCTATTACTGCCTGGCTTTCTGACCCCTTATTCCTGTGGCTACTTTTTGTTTTGGTTCTTTCTGCTTGACAGTGAATTTCTTATCTCGTATCATTGCCTCTCTCTTAATTCACTTTAGAATTCAATGCTTGGCAACTGCTATTGCTGCTGTTAGTCAAGAAGCTGAATGTGAAGATCAACATCTACTTGTGTAGATATGTGTAGAAAGCTGCTAAGGACTTTGTTCACTAAGGCAATAAATATTTTAATTTTGAAATACGGAAAGGAGGATTGCTTGATAGTGCTAATAAAGAAGACTTTGCTCAATATTAAAGGTAATTGTTGAGGTTTTTAATCAGATGATCATTCAACACAATGTCAGGTACTGTTAAAAGTATGTCAATTACTGGCAGTTTTTCAGGCTGACTTTTTCCAATTATTAATCTTTCCAAAGGCACTGAGAATCAAAGCAGATGGTAGCACCTAGGAGACCACCAGGAGCTATAAGGGTGGGAAGCTGAAAAAACACACTTTTGAATAAAGCAATTATGACAACATTCATTTTGTTGCCCAGAACTATCTTGTCATCAATATTTCAACCTAAGGGAATTGTTTTTAGTATTGATAAACCAGAATATTTATCTATGAGATCTGAAAAACACACACAGGAAATATTTGAGTAAACTTAGAGCCAACTTTGTTAGATAAAATTGTCCAGCTGATGTCACAGGAGATACACGATCCTTCACTTAATCAGACCCTATACTTGTAGGCTTAATAAGTCATAACCAATACTTTGAATTGCACCTTGGAAGTTACTAATAACCAGTACAGCTTGGGTTACAGTCACATGGGCACGCTAAAGCATGCCCATCACTACCTATGTCATTACATTCTGGATCAGTTGAAATTTCCAAGTGGTCTTCAAGGGCCCATGTAATGCATTGCAACAGTCAGGTCATGAAATTATTAGGGAATAACTGACTGTATGAAGAGCCTACTAATCTAGGAAAGAATGCAACTGTGGAAGATGAAGCTATGCAAAGGCCCTCCTAACCATAGCTGCCACCTGCTCATCAAGAAGGAGCTGTGAGTTTAGGAGTACTCCAGATTGTGTACCATCCCTTAAATGAGGAAGTGCAATCCCAATCCAGGCCAAAGATAGAATATTTCCATATCTAGATGCCCCAATCACCACAGCTACTCAGTCTTGGTAGGATAAGTCAGAGACAGATCCTCCCCATCCAAACCTCCATGTATAGGCCCTGGCTGGCCTCGAGTTGAAAAATATAATTGGGTATCATCAACATACTATGGATACCAAATGCCAAACCTGCAGATGCCCTCACATACAGTTTCATGCAGATATTGAATAAAGGAGGGACATAGTTGAGCCCTGCAGCACTCCAAAAATGGAAGGGCCTAGAGTACAAATCTCTTCCTCCCAAATAAATACCGACTGAAACCAGTCCCAGAGGAAGGAACAGAACTAACAAATGCATGCTATCCCCAAAGGTGCCCCCTATCCCCAACCCCTATCCCAGAATACCATCAACTGCAGACAACCATCTTCTGAACAACTTTCTCTAAAAGGAAAAGGTTGGAGAAGGACTACAGGTACTTAACAGTGTTGCATCCAGGGATGATTTTTTGAGGAGGGGGCACACCATAACCTCCTTTAAGGCAGCAGTACCACCCAAAAGATTGACACCATAGCATAAACTCAAACTCAGGTTACTGCCCTGGCCACTTTCACAATCCAGAATGGTGGTTGATCCAATAAACAGATGGCCAAACTGATAACCCTGTCCACTTCCTCAGGAGTCACTGGTTCAATCTCACCCCAGATTGCACCATAAGATCTGATCCCAGGCATCTCAACTGGACTTGTCTAATCAGAGTTCAAATTACCTACGCTCAGTCAACTCACTCTGAATCTTCAACCAAAATACTTCAAGCATTTCTTCTGGCACTCTAGCTCCTAAAACTCATCAAGCTCAATCTCAAGCTCTCTCTGGAAACTCTTTAGTTCTGTGGATCACCAAGGGGTCCTATATCCCTCCAGAGAGGGTTGACACCAGTAAACCAAACAACAATCAAAAAGAGATCTGAAGTTTTCTTTTTTCTTTCCTCCAATATGGAGGAAAAGTTGGAATATAAACTGCAGAAAGATTTATACTGATAGTATGAACAGCTCTCTGGCAGGAAATGCTGGAGACTCTACTTGCTTAGCATCTTTTTATGTAAGTCCCCACCTAAGGCACATCTCATCTCTGTTAAAATCTAATTCACTCTGCAGCACATTTTTGTTTATTACCTGGAGCAATGAATAGCTTGATGTCCAGCAATATTAAAATAGAAATCAGTTGTATGTTTCATTTCATCTGTATGCCCAGAAACCTCAATCCAGTGTCCTATTGGGAGGCAGTAAACTCCATCAACTAAATTGCATGGGTTATAAATGCTGGTTCGATCATGGTGGGGCCCATTACCTAAAACAAGAAGAAAACACATACACAATTCAGCAGAAATCATTAAATAAATTATATTTAGAAAACAGAATTTTCCCACTCCTTGCGTGCATGAGCGCACACACACACACACATACCTGCATCATGTGTGGGGTTTTTTAAAGTATATCGCAGGTCATTTTTTCCCAGGTTTGCATACAACAGACCAGATTAAGATTGTTTAACTGAATAATAAAAATAGCATTTCAGAATTAGTGCTTTACTGGGGCCAGTTTTTGTACATAAATATTTAACATTTTTTAGAAGATACAAAACAAAATCTCTTTTAACTATATTTTTTTGTTTATAAGCTAAAAATTGCATTCTGAATAACTTATTCACTATACACCTTTTAAAAAACAATACTATTATATCTTAAAATGTTTCATCACATTTTAATATTGTTATTTTTCTTATTCTAAATCCATTGCCAGAAGAAATAGATATAGTTAGAGCAGATAACTGGTAAATTATGCTCTGAATTAAAGTAACTTGAATTTTGGCAACTAACACTAACTCAGTCCCAGAATTTTTAACACAGTAAACAGGCATAATTTTTTCCTTGATTTTTTTTCTTATGAGCATTCACAGTGCCATCTGCTGTATGAAAAATGGTGCATGCTATGATTTGGAACAGTTTACTTTTGAAGTTATTGTTTTTAAATTCAGAAGTCTAACAAATCATATTGTATAATTTCCAAGCAGACTAGCTGAGATTCAATAAAAATATAGATTGCGTTTTTGCAATGTAGCAAAAATGACTAATTATACCAGAAAGATAGATTTAATATCAAAGTCAATTAAAATAGGCTGTGCCACAATTCTGTACAAAAAAGTCAGTCCTACAAACCCAAAGACACATAAAGATTAAAGAGAGTGGAATCATATTGAGATCCAATATAACCTTCACATTTTTTATGATTCCCAAAGGATATCTGGGACCATTAACAGAATATAAATTCAGATGAAACATTTATGATGTAGTAATAATGTCTTTTGCTGCAGAATACATCTCTCACCCAATGTTCACTTAGGAATTAAGCCTGAGCTCATTAGGCTCTCCTTTTAAGAAACATTTCAATATGCTTTCCCATAAATCTTTTGGAATTGTAATCTAATTTATAGTTTAGAGATTATTATTATTAATAATAATAATAATAATAAAGTTGGAAGCGACCTTGGAGGTCATCTAGTCCAACCCCCTGCTCAGGCAGGAAACCCTACACCATTTCAGACAAATGGCTGTCCAGTCTCTTCTTAAAAACTTCCAGCGTTGGAGCATTCACCGCTTCTGGAGGTAGGTTGTTCCACTGGTTAATTGTTCTGTCAGGAAGTTTCTCCTTAGTTCTAGGTTGCTTCTCTTCTTGATTAGTTTCCATCCGCTGCTTCTTGTCCTGCCTTCAGGCGCCATCATAGTACTAAACACTGTGATTGATCTGTTATTCTAGAGCTCTTCAGAGGCTGGTGGACAGGCTACCAATCCTACACAGATTTCCATTTTTCCTTTCCCAGATATAATGCTTTATATATTGAATTGTATATAGGTGGATACTGGACATAGGCTCAAGTCCTGTCTCCATCATGGAACCTGATTAGGTGATGTAGGGTTAATCTGTTATTCATATAATACTGAATGCTGGCTTGTTGTGGGGAAAAAATTGAAGAGAAGGTAATATGTACCTTGCCTTGAGTTCTTGGAGAAAAGATGAGATATAAACCAAATAAAAAATAACTAAATAAATATAAATACATACATTCCAATATTAAAAATATTTATTCAATATGTACCTTGCCTTTCTACTTAAGTAATGACAGGGTTGCTAACAAAATTTCTAAAAAACATTAGCTAAAATATCATTAAACTTAATTAATAATAAAAAGTTGGACAAAAAGATACATATTTACTATTAATAGTGAGCAATGGGGCCAAGTATAAATCCCTAGGGTGTTCAGTCTATAGCTTAAGTTTTTGATATTGAGAGCATCTTCAGAAGAGTTTGTTTTGCAGATCACAATTGTCAGACAGGTTATCAGGATTATCAGATGCAGTCCCTCAGACTGTGAGGCCTTAAGCTATTTTAAGTTTTTAAAGGTTAATGCCAACATCTAGAATTGCACCCGTTAAGCCACTGATGACCTGTACAGATCTTTCAGTATTACCATTATGTGATCTGAATACCTAGTCCTACATTTTGCACAAATTGAAGCATCTGGCTTTTTATAGGGAATAGCTTTAATTAGAGTACACTGTAATAAGAGGAATTATAACTAAGGGAATGATAAATGTAAAATCTAACAATTAATGAAGGAAAAGTTAGCTATTCTCAAACAAGAGAATAGCAATTGCTACCCAAATTAAAGTCAGTTAGAGTTGCTTCTCTGATTTAATTATTAATTCATTTACCAACTCCATAACAATTCTAAATGACAAAAATGTACACCTTGATTATTGTAAATAAATACTAAACCTGCTGTTGTTAGACACAAGCTATGGATCCAATTATTCATGGATCCAACCCATTCCTATATCTTGTTTCAGAAGACATGAAAATAAAGTTCAATGATAAATGAATATGTATTCTGTCCCTTTAAACATATTGAACATGCACTCTTAAAAATGTACATAATAGATGTTTCTTTAATTTCCACATTTTTCTCTACTTCCATTGACAAGGATTTTTTTTTTGTCGTCTGACATGTTTAAGAGAAAGTAGTTAGAAACTTTGATTGATTTCTGTGGGTTTTTTTAAAAAAAGAACCACAAAAATCAATCAAAGTTTCCATCTACTTTCTCTTAAATGTGTCAGACGCAAAGGATCAGGTCCACGTGTGAAGATCCAATGTATTGCTACTCATGCCTATGCACAGGAATATTCTCAACTAATGGTTAGCACCTGCTTGGAGTTAGATAAGAGTCAACGGAATTCCAGAGTGGTTGCACTTAGTTCACTTGTGGCTACGTAGGGATTTTAGGCTGATTCCTCTTTTAAATCCTCCCCCAGGTTCTGCCAGACCTTCTCCCACAGCTAAATAATAAATGAAATTGTAAACTGTAAATAAAGCAATAGTTAAGCAAAGCAAGCTCAAAGCAGTTGACAAACACATTTCTATTAAAAGCTTTAGATTTTCAGTTTCCACAAAGGCGAGCATAAATGGGATTTTATTTATTAAAATAAACCATCAAGGTAACATTTAATCTAACTTCACTCACAATTATGGATTTGGGTAAATGTAAGAAAGTCTTCCTAGTCCCCAATAGCGCCTTGTGCCACATTCCACATTTCAAGAGAAATCTTCAACCCTGCTGAGAGGTTTTTCAGGGAGGAGAAATTCGAGATTCAGTTCTTATAGTCTCCAACTAGATGGAGCAAAAGAGGGGAAGGAGAAACTGACGATCTCCTCCTGGCTGTTCCTAGCCTTTGAAACTCCATCCCAACCGATTATGTTTTCACTGGCATAAAAAGACTTTCCAGTCAAGAGAGAGACGTGTGTTCCCCCATTCTAAGAACCTCCATTTACTCGACTTTGGAATCACATTTATAGCTGATCCTTGGTTATCAGTGGTAATTGAGGCTGGAATTTCTATCACTGTGCAATGTGATAGTAAAGTACAACAACATGTGTCTACATTGCTTACTAATGGCAATCCTGAAAATCCTTGTTGCCATCAATAAGTGAAAATCGTGGTTGTTAAACAAACCCCAGATGCTTGCAAGCAGGCCAGCAGGCAGCTAAGGTAGAATGTGAGGTGTGGCCTGAGCATGGAGGGGCCAGGGGTGGCTGTTGGCAGGTAGGGAAGGGTGCGAGTGACAGGAACAATTTGCAACCTTCCATTGTCAGATTTCAAATTGACTTTGCTTGTAGGAAGCTGGCAAATGGCAATCATGTGACTATGGGACACTGCAAGCTTGATTGCCAAGTGCCTAGGCTGCAACCACATAACTGTGAGGACACTGGGATGGCAGGAACTTTAAGGACTGGTCATAAGCACCACTCATTCAGTACCATCATAACTTTAAATGGTCGCTAAAGGAGTGGTCTTTAAACAAAGACTGCCTGTATTAGAATGCTTAGGTCACTGACTTTAAATCAGCAGAGCTACCTTGAGGTTCCCTTTCAAACTGCAAAATTCAGTGACTGACCCCTTTGTTCCACCTCAGAGATGAGCAATTTCCCCTGGATTAGGCCAACAATTTATTCTCCTGCCAGCTGGAGGAACACAAGAGGCCTTCCAATGATGTAGTGATGGATACTTTTTTATTCATTTTTGCTGTTAGGGGATTTTTTAAAGAGGGAATGATATGGGGTATCCTGAGCAGTAAGCCATTCCCATGTCCACTGTTAAGATCTTCAAGCAACCTCAAAAGATCAATAATTATGCAGCTGAATTTGCTGACTGCTCTGTTTTCTACAGACTCTTGTAACCAGGTAGTCACAAAGCTCTCCTCCTTTTCAAGGCTTGGCTGTGAAAGCTTATACTGAGATCAGAAAAAGTTTTCTAATTTCCCTCTGCTCCAATAGAGATTTTGCTTTAAGTTCACTGTTTAGAAGAAACTTACCTCTAAATTCCATTGCTGAAGCCATTAAAGCCTTTAAGTTTCCTAGAGATTTATGAAACTATTTTGACCAAAGCTTCCTTGATTTAAAATGTATGATCCCCTTACTGCAACTTGGAAAAATATAAGCAGAGTGATTTTGAACATCTTCTTGTAATTGGGGTATTCTGTTTAGTAGCAAGCTGTACATGAACACAGAGAAAAGCAGGGAAAGATGAAAGTTCCAATATTAAAAACCTGGAATTGTTCCATTGGTCCAATGATCTGATGGCAATTTTGACATCACTGTCTATGCTACACTCTAAAATTAATTAATTAATTAATTAATTAAGCTGGCCAACTTGGAAAAAATGCAAGTCCAGATAGCATACAACAGTAGTGGGCAAATAGTTCAAAGTTCAAGCTTAAACAGTATTGTTGCATCTT